CCAACACACACATTCTTTTACCTATTGTTGTTCTTGCCTTTGAGAGTAAATGCAGGGGTGTTTGTCCTATAGGCTAAGGAGTTCCCCACCTGTTTGTTTCTAACAACTGTATGAGTTTTGATAGTCATATTACTATTAATACCAGCTTGCCTGGGCACAAGGACACAGGACAGGACCCTTGAGTGGGGATGTGCAAGGGGTTTGTTAGGGTAAGATTCCATTCCTCAAAAAGTTGAGAAGAAAATATTAAGAGAGAAGGGGTATAGAGTATACAGTTGTGTAGTTAATAATGAAATGCGGAAGGAGAATCTCTATCCTGTTGTCTTAATTTGTAAGACCTTTAGAAATTTCTTTAGGCGTATATGATCCAACCTGCTTGGAAGGTCTCCCACCCCTAAAGAACATGCTGTCAGCAGTGAACGCTGTCTCAAAGACTTTGTCATTTGTACTAATTTGAATATCCTTACGTAAACTCTCTCTCTTCCTCTCTCCCTGCCTTTTTTTTTTTTTAAAGCAATCCGTTCGCTTGATATCACTGTGCCAAAGATTATCCAGGTCGTTCTTGTCCAGGAGTAACATGAGTGTTGCCAGAAGCGACGATACTCTGGTAAGCACACCTGTTTGCCTTGCTGAAGTTCTTTCTTACAACTGTGTATTTCCAATGTTTAGGTTGCTTGATTTGTTCAACAACCCAGAAAACCTAAAGTCACGGAAGTGTCAGGCCTGTTCTTCCTCTGCTCAAGGTAGGGAGTTAGGTGGCTGATTTGATGTACGGTATTGGTTCTTTCGTTCTTTTTTCTCTTTGTTTGGATTGGCACCATGCCCAGTCCCACCCACTACCTCTGACACTACCACGCCCTGCCCCACTCCTCCCACACTCACAGTTTGGTGAGAGAATGACTGGCCAGCAGAAGAGGAAAGAGTTCATTCTAATTTCCATGAAGAAAATGAGAGTCCTCTATTGCCACTGACCTTGGAAAATACTTGATCATAATACCATAAAAGAGGCAAATACTCCTCCTACCAACACACACCCCCCAAAATCAAGGCAAATACTGTGGAGCTTGCTGGGGGAGTTTGTGGTAGACCAGAAGGCTAAACCTACTTGCTGTGTTGACATTGCATTGAGTGCCTAAAACCCTTGAGAACAATTCCATACTTTTTCCCATAATGAACACTGAAACCTAATCACAGATTAACTCTTCAGATATGACTGGACACATCCGAATTCAATAAGACTGTCCCCTGACAGTCAGACAACAGGGCTTTGGGAGCCCTGGTGGTAAAGGGGATGTCAGAGAAGGGAGAAAGGTTGGTTCTGTGGGAACCAACCTGCTCCCATGACTGCATAGTCAGTGTTTCGTGAATGACTCCAGGGACTCCATGGGCAGGATCACACATCAGCAGACACGAGCTCTATCCCCGCCCCGAAGCTAGTTGCTTCACTGAGCCTCCAGGTGTAGCCTTGTAGAGTCAAAGGAGAAATGTTAAGGAGAAAACAGGAATGGGAAAGAAGCAAGGTCGGAGAAGGAGGACATGGAAAAGAAAGTCTAGGTTTGGGAATTGTTTGAGGGTAACAGTGGAACCAGGGACAAGACAAAATCTGTTAACCTAAGGAAGATGAGAACAATTAAATGTTATAAATTAAAATCATCTTGAATAAGCACTTAGAGGAAAACATGTGTCACAGTGCGAAGTTTAGGGAGGGAGAGGGCCCCAGGGTGCGTGGGGGTTCTAGGTGGGATGACCCTTCCTGGAACTCATGTTCCCTCATCATTCTGATGTCCTACTGATCATGAGGACCTGTTGTAACCATCTGCTTATCCCCCCCCCATTCACCTCGTTTCTCTTGACTGTCCCTTTCATGCAAATGTCTCTTAGTCATCAATTGGAATTGTAATGGAAAAGCAAAACCTATGACATTCTTAACATGGAGTCTGTCCAAATATTATTAAAACCCTCATGAGGTTTGGATTCAGACCCATAGAGAAGAGAAAGCAGAAATCAGAGAAATGCTTTTTCCATTCCACCCCACAAGCAGAGACTCGGCCTCTGTGATAACGCTTTTCCAGATTTGAAATATGAGGAGCCACACCTCTGTGAGTCCAGAGATATTGTTTGGGATTTTTCTAGCTTATTCTTTAGTTTTAATGTACCATATTTGGTAAATATCTTATTATAAGAAAACTTTGACAAATTGGCAAGGATTTAACTAGTTTGACATTCTCTATTTTCTCTTTGTAATTAGCAATGCATCTGTTTTCCTTTTTCTGGCCTTTATTTTTACATTACTCCTCCTTTAGGATCTTTAAAATATACATATATGTATATATAGTGACTAGCTTTCAGAGAATTTTGCCATGTTATTCTATACTTAGAGGAGGAAGAAATTCCAGTGATCAAAAAATAACAATTCTATAATTGGACAAATTACAAATTAAGGCTGTAAAATTCAGAGGTATCATTTCTTTGGTTCTATGGTTTTTAGACTCTGAATTATGCCTGATATTTTCTACGTGGTTTCTGGGACTATATATTTTGAAAGGTTTCCAAGATAAACACAGAAGATAATTTGTTATCGGTTGTTCTAAATCTGAATCTTGAAAGGTGTTTGCCATCTGGGTTATAATGCAAGTGACATTAAGGCACAGGTAAAAGAAGGTGGCGTTAGTTTCCTACATGGAAGGAGCAAAAAGTAACCTCCTGGTTCCTTTCATGACTCTGTGGATTTGTAGATTAAGTGGCTACTTTCCTCTAGATGCTTCTCTTGACAAATGAGCATTGATTTCTCTTATGTTGATAAGAGGATCATGGCCAGCAAGCTAACTCTTTTTCCCTCTTCACTGTCCCTCTCAAGGATGAGGAAGACTCCTTTGTGATGAAAGCCATCATCCACGCCATCAATGATGACAACGTCCCAGGCCTACAGCACCTCCTGGGCTCATTGTCCAACTATGACGTTAACCAACCCAACAAGGTCTGCTACTGCTCTGCCAGGGGTAGTGGGCGGGGGGTGGGGGGTGGTCACCGTGACTGTACACCTCCAAGTTCACGGTGAAAAAGATCCCTTCTGCTTCTCCATCCCCCCCCTTGCTGTTACAAACTCCATACTGTGGAGAAATCACTTCTGCGTAGAGAGTGAATTGAGTTAGAAATGAGGTCGAATGCACCGAGGGCCTTTCTCCACCCAAAGCCTTTCCCCACGACACTGTGAATGTGCTCATCCTGGAAATGAAACTGTCACCTTTGAGTGTGAATCCAGCAGAGGAAGGCTGGGTGTTCCCCCGGCTGTCCCCATTCCTGTTACACAGCAGTGGTTGTGGGTCTGTTGAGACCTAAGAAGCTGTGTGGTGTTGGACAACGGTGACAGTTGCTTTTCCTTGCCTACCAAACCTCAAAAAATGTTTTTCTTGTCTCTTCCAGCACGGGACACCTCCATTACTGATCGCTGCTGGCTGTGGGAATATTCAAATACTACAGTTGCTCATTAAAAGAGGCTCAAGAATTGATGTCCAGGACAAGGTCATAATTCTGTTTTATTGCCACTGAATTACCTCCTAAGTATTTCCAAATGTCTTCCTATCACAGAGGTAACAGAGGAAAACCACATGTGCCCCTTACTTCATTTCTCAGTCTCCTACAAAGGAAGATGACCTGTCCCATAGCCTGGTCCAGTCTGACCCGTGTTACAAACAAAAAGGCAAATACGTCCCTTTCTCTTGGCTCGGTTGCTCAGCATCAGCCTTTCCTTGCGCGCTACCCCAGATCTATTCCTTACTCATCACATGTACTCAACAGTGTTATGAGATGTCACATCCGGGAAAATTTTCATCGTCTGATTAATCTCATCAGAGATGTATTTGTCTGCATGTGTATTAGGGCAACAAAGTCAGGATGGTCCATGTGGCCATAGATTTTACAGAACTGTACACGGACTAGAGCCGATCCTGACTATGGAGGAAATTTGAACCGGAGATTGAAATGAAGGTTTTAAGAAAACAAAAACATGATTTTGGAGTAATTCTAGATTTACCAAAGAAAGGTGCAAAGATAGGACAGAGGGCTCCTGGAGCCCCTTCGCCCCACTTCCCAGAATGTTAACATCTTACATCACCTTGGTCTTTTTATCAAAACTAAAGAATAAAATGAGAGTTCGTTCCTCTTGGAAGTTGCTCCTTTGAAGTTTGCCGTCACACAGGAAGGGAAATGGAGTGAGTCTGAGTGACGTGTGCATTTGGATCTGGAAATGTGACTTCACACTGGTTTTTATGCAGGGGGGATCCAATGCCATCTACTGGGCGTCTCGGCATGGCCACGTGGACACCCTGAGATTTCTCAATGAGAACAAATGCCCTTTGGATATTAAAGACAAGGTAAGGCTCCTTCTCTTCTTGGGGATAGTGGGAAGTCATCTGAGGCGACGTTTGAGTGTGGACATGCCACCTGCATCTGGATCCAAAGCAAAAGGGTTTGTGATCAAAATCTTCCTGCAGGGAAGTTCAGAAGTGTCTTTCTGCTACTGGCTGAGTCTAATATTAAAATCTGCGTTTAGCTGAAATCTGCCAGCTAGTTGGCATAATATGCAAGCAGTGAATTATCTGCCCCATAACCTGGACACTCAAGGTTCTACTAGAAGGACAATCAGAAGCAGATCCGAGTCCTGATCCTTGTATTGAATTGCCATGTGTACATCTCTTTACGCTTCTTCTCCCCTCTGAAGTAGCTGCCAGTGCTGACCTTACAGTCCCTGGCACTAGAAGAATTCATGAGACAATGCATATAAAATAAGGCTTTGGGGAGCAAAGTTATTATAACAAAAGCTGTTGATTTAGCAAGTTACCTTATTTTCATGTATCTGTGTTTCATTCAGTTCACACAAGAACCCTGTGAGTTCACTGGCAGGGCTTGAACATGTACCAAGGATTCTTACCTCCTCATTCATTATACGTTCTACTGTGCAACTCCTGTCTGCTCCTAGTGCTTGTAGACTGACTTTTCATGTTTAATCGGAGCTGCCATATACAGTTGTATGGACTGTGCACTGCTCTGTATCTAAGGGATGATATTCATGTCAAAGACACACACACGCACACACACACACACATGTATGATGGCAGTTTTCGGTCAGGTAGCAACAAGCATCTTGTTTTGTATCAATCAGTTTATACTCACAGTTTTTGGACAGGTATGAGTAAAATATCATAAGGAAATCATAGGGAAATTGCACCTATTGCAAATTCAGAGAATGCCACTGTGGGCTAATAGTGATGTTTTTTTTTTAATCTCTGAGAATGTAAGAAATAACATTCTCAACATAGACAATGAAATCAGAAACTTGCTCATAAATAAAACTGTGTTTAAGTAACTTAATATTAAAACAGGAGTTTTGTGTTTTGAAAAGAAAATCACATGGCTACAAGCATCCGTACATAAAGAAGATTGAGAACCGCCATGACAGAGAAGGAAAACATTCTCATGTAGGAGGTTTTATGACAAGCAGGAGGGGCTACACATGTGGGTTTCACGCTAGCTGTGTGGTGGACCCTCCACCCCAGGACCAAAGGGGCATGTGGCCTGAGGGTGGTGGGGGCCCCTTCAGGGCAGGACTGGAGCCAGGCGTGCATGGGAGTGGGCCTCCAGTCCTGTGCATTTAGTTTCTAGAGTCTGCTCCCGGAGAGTGCTCTGAATTTGGCTGTTTCTTTTACAGTCTGGAGAGACAGCCCTTCATGTGGCAGCTCGCTATGGCCATGCCGATGTGGTTCAGTTACTGTGCAACTTTGGCTCTAACCCCAATTTCCAGGACAAGGTAGGTCACGGTAGCCGACCTCACTTCCTTTCGCCTGCTGGGTGGCTGTACCCGTAGCCGTTTGATATGGTCGGGTCCTTTGGGGTTTTATCCAAGGTAGGTTTTCTGCTTAGATTTCTGAGGGCAGGGACTCAAACAGGAGCACTAACATTCATTCATTCATTCATTCATTCATTCATTCATTTACACTTCTGGACAACCCTGTGAGTGAGTTGCTATTATTTTCACTCCTTCTTTTACAGAAGAGAACATCCAGGCACAGAGAGGTTCAGTAACATACCGAAGCTCACACAGCCTGTAAATGGTGGAGCTGGGGCTCAAACCCAAACAGTCTGGTTCCAGAGTCATCCTGTAAACACTTCACTGTACTAACCTCTCGTAGACAGACATCTGTGTCTAATGATGTTCGTTGTGAATATACAGTCCTTACAATCCTATAGATCTCGTGGCCAGCCATCACCCTGACTTGTTAAAGCACAATTATCTCAGCACGTCTTTGCCAGAGCAATAACAAATTATGTGAGTGATCTCTATGTTATACACATGACAGAAATCCTGAGGTGTTAAGCTTGTTACAAGAATTCCCGCTCAGATAAGTGCTCTCCTCCTGTGAGGAGTCTCAGATGAACTGAATGAAGGCACTTTGATAAGAAAGATGTTATAAATCCATCCACCCCGGGGTTCTCCTGTGTAGAAGAGCTGAACCAGTGGTTCCAGGGGGCTCCTAAAAGTCAGTTGTTAGTAAACTGCAGGGGAAACTGAATTTATCCAACACCCAAGTGTTGAGGAAAGAAAATTAGTGAAGGAGAGACATCAGACCTGCGTCCATTATTTCAGATTTTGCTCTTTTTTTTTTTTTTTTTTTTTTTTTTTTGCCACGAGCTCTTTTTTCTGTACTGCCTTGACTCGGCTGCTGATGTTGGCTGGAACTCACTGCATCTGTACTGGTGTGCTCTTGTGTTCTCCTCCTTTACCTGTGTGTCTCTTTGGCCAGGAAGAAGAAACCCCCCTGCACTGTGCTGCCTGGCACGGCTATTATTCTGTGGCCAAAGCCCTTTGTGAAGCCGGCTGCAATGTGAACATTAAGAATCGAGAAGGAGAGACGCCCCTCCTGACAGCCTCTGCCAGGGGCTACCACGACATCGTGGAGTGTCTGTCTGAACACGGAGCCGACCTCAATGCCTCCGACAAGGTGGTTTGTGGGTAGATGTATCACACGCACTGGCAGGTGATCCGGGGGGCTGATGGGACCACAAGACTCCTCCATTAATTACCTACAATAACAAACTCGAATGTAGCAAATTACAATGGTCCTTTCTCTTCTCTGTTTGATAATTATTAATCTATTAATATGAGATTCTGTTTGACAATTAATATTCATTTGTGGCATGTTAACACTTTATGGTCAGATGGCTCAGCTGTTTTATGTTCCGCCTTTTTAGCTTTGAAGCAGGTATAGGAGTGTTCACTGGGCCTAAGACAATCTTCAGTTAGGACCAAAATTGGCAACTCTCTATTACTTTGTAGCGAAACAGAGAAATAGATGGTTTATTTACTTTTATCTCCCGCTGTTTCGTTAAAAGATAAAAACCACTCTTAGTTGGCTGATAATTGCAACTCTAGACCAGGTGCTCCTTTATTAATTAAACAAATTCAGCATAATCTGTTTTTGTTTGTGAGCTTGTACTTAAATGAGGCTGTGGTGTTCCTCGTATTGTCAAATTTGGGATATTGTAGGTAAGTTAGGAACTGCCATTTGTGGAGTGTTTTCTTGGTGCAGAGAAGTGGTTCTCAGTTGGGAGCAAGCTTGCCCCCGGGGGGCATTTGGTGGTGGCTGGAGCCCGGTTTTGGTTTTCACAGCCAGAAGTGAGGGTTACTACTGGCATCTAGTGGACGAAGATCCGTGTGCTTTTGTTACACATCTTACAACTCCCAGCACAGGCCCCAGATGTCAGTTAGTATACTGAGGTAGAGAACCCTTAGAACAGATAAGTTACAGACATGTCCCCAAACTCTCTACGCAGCTCACGAAACTCAACCTGTCTATTCGCCAGGGGTTCCGTAACAAGTGGAGGGAATTCCCAGGCTGGTCTTTTTTGGGATGCATTGATTCAGCATGTTTTATTTGCCTTTGATATGTATGACAGCCCTTGAGCACATCACTTCCTGTGGCTTTCCCAGTTTCTCCCTGGGTAAGAGAAAACAGGCTTTTTTTTTTTTTTTTTTTTTTTTTTTTTTTTTTTTTTTTTTTTTTTTTTTTGAGAGAGAGAGAGAGCAATTGCCAGCAGTGGGGAGGGGTAGAGGGAGAGAGAGAATCTTAAGCAGGCTCCATACTCAGCGTGGAGCCTGACTTGGGGCTTGATCTCATGACTCTGAGGTAATGACCCACGCCAAAATAAGAGACACTTAACTGACTGAGCCCCCAGGCGCCCTAAATGATAGGCTTTCTGCTTAGGAAGTAAGTGAAGACTGCTGAGCAAATGTTTTTAAAAGTGGTTTTCAAGGCACCTCAGTGGTTCAGTTGGTTAAGCATCCGACTCTTGATTTTGGCTCAGGTCATGATCTCATGGTCCTGAGATTGAGCCCCGTGTCGGGCTCCACCCTGGGTGTGGAGCTTGGTGAAGATTTTCTCTCTCATTCTCTCTCTGCCTCTCCCCTGCTCGTGCTCTCTCTGTCCCTCTTTCTCTCAAACAAGGATTTTAAAAAAATAAAAGGGGTTTTTAAGCGCTTGATAAAACAGGCCGTTGGAGAGCCAACAATTACGTAAGTTCTATACATTTAGAGACAAGAAGAAGTGTTGGGTCTTTCTGTCTGACTGTTCGGACCACGCCTGAATTAGTCAGGCTGATGGTCAGCTTAGTCTGTGGTTGTTCAGAGTGGGGCACACGAAGCCTCTCCCCCACTCGCCAGGAGTAAAGAATGTGTTGTAATCCTTCTTCAGGATCTGCAGTAACAATGCCATTGGCCAAGTAAACTTGGCCCAGTGGTGGCTGGAAAGGCAGGTGGCCAGGCCCACGTGCATAAGGGAAAGTGCTCACGGCCCCTGGTGTTTGTTACAGGACGGACACATCGCTCTTCATCTTGCTGTGAGACGGTGTCAGATGGAGGTCATCCAGGCTCTCATCAGCCAGGGGTGTTCTGTCGATTTCCAAGATAGGCACGGCAACACCCCCCTCCACGTGGCCTGCAAAGATGGCAACGTGCCCATTGTGGTGGCCCTCTGTGAAGCCAGCTGCAATTTGGATATCTCCAACAAGGTAACGCTGGAGGGGATCCCTGCGGGGGCCAGCAGGGCATGTCCCTCCACCTGCTTCTGGGTTTTCTCCAAGTTTCTCTTCGCGTCTCTTCATTATTCAAAGCCAGTGTTACTCATAGGGACCTGTTCTGTTCTGGCTTGTAGAGCTGTCTACATTAAATCATACTTTACGTTGGACTTTTGAATAACTTCGTGAAATAACAGAAAATCATTACATTATTAAGTACTTCCTACCTAGCCAGGTTGTTATTGATGAACATCAAGAGAGGGAGAGAGAGAAAGGGGGAGTGTGTGTGTGTGTGTGTGTGTGTGTGTGTGTGTGTGTGTCTGTGTCTGTGTGTGACCTCTTGTAGAAGAATCCCAGAACATCAGTCAAATTAGAACATCTTTTTGCAGTACTATATCTCCAGGAAAACACCTCATTGAGATTCCTAGGACCAGATTTCTCTTCTTGGCTTTCCCCCTTGAGAGTTTTTATGGTCAAACATTCAGAACACCTTTTTTGTGCTCAATAAATTTAGTAAGACCAAGGGAATGCTACTATTTGGTGAATACTAAAGAAATGAAAATAGTCACACGATGAAATGAAAAAAACCCCATATGTTGACTTCTAGAAGTTAGCTAACACCTTTCCTTTTCCCTGAATACTATAGAGACTTTCATTACCAAATAGGACAGAACAGTTGGATATTCATGTGGTTTCAGGCATGTAATTGTACAAAAGGCAAGCACTACTCTTTCACGATTGTGTTGAAGACAAAGTCCAAGTTGAATTAAAATTTTGATTGTGGGAAGTGTTTGTTTATAATTGGCAGACACGATGCCAGCAGAATTTTCTCATGATTTGTTTGAGGTAAGAGAATTAACAGCTAAAAGAGCTGGAAAATTACACGTCTACAAAAAATTATTCCTCTTGCCTATTATGTGATTAATTCTCATGAATCTTGAAATCGGCAGTCTTCACATTCTGGAAATTTGAAAACGCAGGATCATAGGTCTTAGGCATTAGCTGCTGTGCTGGTTGCTTTCTTTGTTTATCCCATTCTAATCCTGCCAAGTCTGTTAGGTAAAGTGGCTTAAGGGGAAAGCCAAATGTAATATTAAGCAGCATCAAGATCTTGGCTATCCTTCTAGGAGTCTTTAAACGAATAAAAAATGGCTTCAGGGAACATCATGGTACTTATTTGAATACCTTTGGACTTGGCCATAGTCCACACAGCTGGCCTACTGTGTGCACAGAATCTGGGATGAACTGTCTCCTGGGAAGGTGGAGGAGCAGAGCGGGTGACTCATGGTACTGGGCACTAAGTGAAAGAAGGGAATGGGTGTTCACCCCACGCCTAAGTGCAAGCCGTGCACTTGCTAAGTCTGCTCTTTAAAATACCCAGCAAGATAACCCTAGACTTCATGTTTAAAAACAACTGACTTATTTAACGGGAAGGCCTCTACGTTGTTGAGGCTGCAGATGGTAGTTCATACATACCCACACACACTTGCTTTTACCATATTGGGCCACACAGCAGCACAGAGAGGGCATTCCGTAGGTGATTTTGTCACTGAGTTGAGCTCAGCTGGAGCTCCACAGTGTCACCCTCCTAAAATCAGCAGCCTCGTGCAGTTACTTGGGACCCTCTTGGTGCAGCAGCGAGGTGACTGGCAGCTCCACGTGGAGCCAGAGACGAGGTCCCCAGGCCGCCATCAGTGTTCAGGGACTCGGCACACCATCACTCCGTGGGCCTCACGCCTTCTTCAGTGGGTTGGTGACATCTTCGTTTTTTTCTTCCTCTTCCCAGTGAAGACAGAAAGCATGTTGTACTCATGCATGCGTCCATGCACACACAGACACACACACAGAGATGCACACACAGACACCTGTGCATGCATGCACGCAGACCAGCACACAGACATGTGCACCCACATAGATACACAGACACACGCACATAAACAGATGCGCACACACGCAAACACACAGATGCGTGTACGTGCACATGGGCACACGGACATGCACATAGACACGCACAGACTCACATCTACAAATGGGCACACATACACACACACACACGTGCACATGTGGACATGTACACGGACACACACACATGTACATATCCAGGCATATGTGTGACAATTCCGTGCCCAGTAAGTGTGTGTTAGTGCCTTTCTCTGACAGTACTGTGCCAGAGCAGGATGAGGGGCTTGTGGATAGCATAGTGAATGGTTCGTGCCCCCAGGTGTTTTTTGGTGTAGCCGGGCTCATGTTGCAGTCACTGCTGTGAAAGAGGCACCAGGTGCTATGGAGATGTGGACATCTGCACATGAAAGAAACAGAGAGAGCTTTTGGATGAAGGAGAGAGGAAAGTGTGTTTCAGACCAGGGGAAGTGTTTGCGTATGTTTGGGCGCTGTCTGGCTGCACCTGTAGCTGACGTGGAGTGTAGGCATTTAGGGAGGCCGGCAATGGGGCAGAGAGAGAAAATGCAGGTGGAAGGGGACATTGGGTCCAGAAGGTGCAAGACCTTGACCGTAAGGCTTGGGAGTTTGGATTTGGTTCTGCCAGAAGTCAGGGCCTTCAACATGTAAACTTCCTAGTCCTTTTTCTTTGTTGTCCTTTTTCCCTTGCATGAACGATACCTCCCATTGCCAGGCTCCTCTTCCTTACACAGAAATCCAAACACCTTGCTACATCTTCACAACTTCTTTTCCTTCTCACTGTGTCTCTAGGGTATTTGATCTCTGCTCCCTAGATCACTCTAGATGATAGTAGACTAGCACAGGCTGGTGCACACATTGCAGCATTATTTGTAAGGGGCAGGAATGGAACCGCCTTAAGCGTCCATCTTCAGTGGGCTGGCTGAGTGAATTGTGGCACATCCACATGCCAAGTGTTACTCAGGTAGCCGAAAGGACAAATTAGATATCGTCACAGGCCCCACAAGGTGTGTGCCATGTATTACTAAGGGGAACGTAGCAAGTGACAGCCTAGAAAGTGGAATATGTCTTGGCTTTTCACGTTTTTTCTTTCCTCTCGTGGATTCATAGCTAAAAGCTTGGAAGGCCGGGCACCAAAGTGTCGAGCCGGAAGTGCTCTGAGGAGGGGAGCCTGGGGAAGGGGACAGAAGGAAAGGAGCGCCTCTCTTCTCCACCACGGATCCTATGCGTCCTGCGGCGTCCTTTGCACTTTCTCTGTCAGCATGTGTTCACTTCATAACAAAAACTTACACTTGCAGATAAACAGCATAAGACAGACACCTGAACTTCCTCTGCTTCCAGTATCCACCAAGGATACTTTTTTTTGTGGTTCCCCCAGGGCAGAAGAAATACCTAACAGTTCTGTTTATTAAGCGGTTCAGTCCGAACAACCTAGTAAGAATTTATGTCCTAATGACTCAGTAGGTATTGGGAAAAAAACGATGCCCACAAATGGAAAGAAAATGAATATTTTCATTTCATTCTTCCCTAACCACACTTGCATGCTGATGGGATGTGTGTGCTGATTGGTCACCTCACAGCTCCTCAGACCTTGGACCCAGCCAGGCTGGACACTGCATTATTCCTATTCTACACCCGTGTTCTCAGGGTACTTGTTTCTTGTCACAGTAACCACCAACCCCCCGCTGTGCAGATACGATGGCATTGAAAGGAAGGCAGTGTGATCTAATGCTGAGACCCTAAGCTGCCTGGAGCGAGTACTTCACTTTATGTCTGAACCTGCTGGTTCCATCAACAATGTGAAATATTCCTCAGTACCCCATGCATTCACTGCAGCGCCCTGAGGTGCCTTGGCACACAGTTTGGGAACCACACACATAAACAGTGGAGAGCATGGTGGGCATGGCCTTGCAATGTCACCTCATTAGAACGACTTCACTGGCTATTGTTCCATCCCTTTGTCCCTTGCAGTGTCTAATTTGAACTGTGGTGCAGATCTTTCTGGAACCTTGGGCCCCTTAAGAAGAACCCTGACTCATGCCTCCTTTCTACCAGCACAGGAGGAGATTCGATTTAGTTATCTTATGATAAGCCTCCTACTCTTTCATCCTTTGCAGTTTTCTTTCAAAGTGACTCTTTTAACTGGAAAATACTTCAACACATTCCTCTTGGCTTGCCTCCCCCCAGGAGAGGGAGGGTTTCTGGAAAAGGGAGTCCACACGTCCTATTTCTTCTGGGGGATCCCAGATCCCGCACACAGTACCGGCCCGTGGGATAGACTCCCGTCAGTGCCATCCTCAGCAGCCATTGTGAGAAGGACTCTCTTTGGGCTTTTTTTTTTTTGTGTCTTCCAGTATGGACGAACGCCTCTGCACCTTGCAGCCAACAACGGGATTCTGGACGTGGTCCGCTACCTCTGTCTGGCGGGCGCCAACGTGGAGGCGCTGACCTCGGTGAGTCACTTTCTGGCAGGAGAAAGCCACGGAAAGCCGTAGAGAACGTTTCGGGCCTCAAGGGCATCGGGGAAAGGTATCACTTGGCAACTGCATCTCAAGCAGACAAGCTGCTCTTAAGCTTTGCTCCTGCAGTGCCGTTCCGTAGACAGTTGCCCACACAGAGCCAGGGTGATAGCTGGTTATGCTCATTGGTGCCAGGGCCCTTGGCGCTCTGGGGCCCGCACTGCCAGGAATGCCTGCTGTTTCCCATGCTACACAGCAGCGCCTTTGGGTGTTTTGTTAGATATGTGTGTTTTCCTTTTCTAAATGCTCCCCCTCCCCTACAACGGCTCTGGAGGTGCCCTGGGCTCTAGGGGAGGAAGGAGGAAGGAGTCTCAGGTCTCAGGGTGGGGAACTGCTTACAAGAGCTGTTCTCTCTTGTTTAAAAAGTCTGCCTTTCTTATTTTGTTCCCGGCACCTCCCCACCCCTCATTCCGTGCCTGGCACCACCCTCCAGGAGGAGCCCTTTGATTTACAGTTCATGAAATACCAAAGAGGGAAAATACATGGACTGATGCGATAAGATGGTCATTTTACTGCTACAGTGAAATTCTATCATTTGACTTGTTTCTGGCCTAATGGTAGGTTGAGTCTGCTAAACCTCACTAATGCTTCGCTGATGTAAAGTGTGCATCTGAGGAAATCCATTGGGATTTTAAAATATGGCAGCCAACTTTGGGAAAATCAAGGCCTCATTTCTTGGAGAGTCATGTAGGGGTTGGCAAACCACGGGCTGCAGGCCAAATCCAGCCCGCTGCCTGGTTTCTGTAAATAAAGTTTTACTGGGACCCAGCCATGCTCATAGTTTACAGCCCAGCAGCTGTTTCTATAAATCAAACTTTATTGAGACCCACCCAGGCTCATTATTTACGTATTCGTGGCCACTTTCACGTTATAAGGGCACAGTTGAGCAGTTACGACAAAGACCCTATGGCCTACAGAGCCCGAAGTTATCTATTCTCTGGCCCCTTATAGAAAATTACTGACCTCTGGTCGGAGACATTGCCTCCCTGACTGTACTGATGTTCCTTTGATGTCATTCTGTCCTCACAAGTAGTGGGCCCATTCTCTGTAAGTGTCGAGCCCTGTGCTGGGCTTTTCTGCAGGCCCAGTGAAGGCCAGTGCTCTAGATGGGATTGTCCCTTTCTCAGGATACCTCCTTGCCCATCACAAAACCCTGCATGGCCATGCATGGGCTTCTAGGCCTCGTGTGCCATTATCAAACCCTGCCCAGCCATGTCTCGGCACTCAGTTCAGTTACTCCACAATAGAGTATTTATGTGCATTTTTATGAGGAGAAGTTTTTTTGTTTGTTGTCACAAATGTTGCCTCATAAAAAACAAACTGTCAGGGATGGCTCTGAAGATACCAGCTGCTGATTCTGCCACATGTCACAGGTTGGGGACGCTAACATGTGCTGCCCTAGGCCTCTGCTGGGTCCCCAGTGCTGCCCCACGACCTCTGTGAGCCCTTGCCCACAGCAGCTATTTCCTTGCCTCCCGCGAGTGGCCTCCCCCTCCAGTGAGCCCTCAATTGTATCTCCCCACTCATTCTCTGCTCACCACTGGGCCTCCCTGCTACCCAGGAGTCCACTCACGTGCCTTACTCCTTTCTTCATTCCCCAAATACTAGGCATGTACTGTGCACCAAGCACTGCTAGGACCCAGGAACACGGGCACAGGCAGGTGATTTCTCCTCCCTCAGAAAACTTCCAGTCTCTTGACAGAGAGTCAGACCCACGAGCCACAGCAGTAAATGTACAGTTAATGGGGTCTCCAGAGGGTTATGCACCAGGGCCCTGAGGGAGTTTCCGTGGGTTGGGAGTGCTCCTCAGGGAGAGTGTAGGGAGCACCCTGTGAGAAGCCACAAGGCCTTCCAGGAGCCTGAAGGACGGTGGGCTGTAGTATAGCATGGCGGGCCGGGATGCACAGGGCCGGATTGCGCCCTGCCTCCCAGGCCGTGCAGTGGAGACTGAGGTCTCCCTCTCCCAGTTGTCTTAGGTGTCCAGCAGGAGAGGGGATCATCATGGAGACACCGTGCTCCCTGCTGACGACATCTCCAGCAGAGCCCTAACACGCGTAGTAGGTGCCGTCCTAAATGTGCCAGAAGCCATATCCAAAAACAAAAGCAATGGAAGAAATTAATTTCAGGAATATATTTTGTTGAGCACAAAACATGCAAAATATTATCATTTCGATCTGCAATCCGTATTTTAAAACTATTGAGATCTTTCACATTCTTCTGGGCCTCATTTCAAGCACTGAGTAGTAAGGGCTGGAGAGCAGCCGCCTCCTTATTGGCAGAAAACAGTGCGGGGCGGGGGGGGGGG